CTTCCCGCCCACCTCTGCCCTGCAGAGCAGTGGGCACAGGGCCCTGAGAACCCCCAGAAGCAGGATGGGAGCCCAGACCTCCAGCTGGATGGGAACCCCACTGCGGGACCCAGGGTCAGGACACAGGCCCATGAGGGTCCCTCCGGGCTCGCCTCACCCCTGGCCTTGTGGAGGCAATGACGGCCGCGCCTGAGGGACGGTCAGGGACACGCTGGGTCACAGCTGGAGGGGCCCGCGGCCGAGGGCCAGCTGTGCTCCCGTCCGGGGCATCGCCGTGGCTCGGCCGCCCTGTAACAGGTGAGGGACGCGGGTGAGGTGCTCCCCAGCGTCCTGCCAGCCCCCGCCGGGCCCCCCTCCGGCCGCCGAGTCCTTCCTTCCTGGTTTTGTCCTCATCCGTGTTCTGGGCCAGCTCTTGTGTAAGAAGAATTCTTTCCGACCTAGAAACAGCTTAAGAAACGGGCAACGTCCGTGTTCGTCTTGCCCGAACCGCAGGGCCTCACCCCAGGGTGTCTGCGGGCGCACCGCCCCCCCCCCCCCGCCCTTCCTGCCACCACGGGCTCAGCCCCGCCCCCCTCCGCGGGGCCTCGGGTAGAGCAGCCCCCCTCTGGGTAAACCGGAGCCTGCGAACCCCTCCGCGGCCCCACCGTCCCTCCCCTGGCGTCTTTCTCCGACCGGAGCCAGGGGTGTTCATGAAGCTCCCCCCGCCCCACCCGGCTCCGGGGCGGGGCCCTTTGTCTCCCGGGCTCCGCGTCTCACGGGCTCTGGCTCAGCACCGGGCAGCTGTTCGTTGACTGACTGGTGGACAGAAGCGCGGACCGAGGGGCAGCTGCACGGCCGTGTCTCTGAGGTGCCAGAAGTAGGCCCAGCGTTATGCACAATAAAAACCGTTTCAAGATTCCCCTGAAACCCACGCGCCACTGCTGTCAGCCGTCCTCGATTAAATCGTCCTTTTAAAAAGCCGGGCGGCAACCGCTGTGCTCCGGGCTACGACTGGACGCGCTGCCCGCTGCCCCCCGACATGGTCTCCCGCCACCCCGAGGTGCTGTGCTACTCAGTGTCCCCGACTGGGAAGGGAGGGCGACGGCGAGGTGCCCCATGCGGTGGGGTCCCGGTGGAGAGCCTGCACCGGGGCCGGCCCAGAGCCGAGGCTCCGCGGTGTTGCCATGTTGAAGGCGGTGGCGGCGGCGTTCACGGTCCAGCAGACGGGAGACCAGCGACAAGCAAGGGTCTCGATGGCATTCAGAGGGACTAGGATGGGGGCGCCCGGCTGGCTGTCAGTGGAGCGAGAGTCTTGATCTTGGGGCCGTGGTTTCGAGACCCACGCAGGGTACAGAGCTTACTTTATCGAGAGAGACTAGGACAAGGACTGTAGTACAGAGTTACCAGGAAGTGACACAAGACCAGACCCAAATAAAGTCAGGGAGGAGCCATGCAGGGAAGGTGTTCCAGGCAGAGGGAACATCACGTGCAAAGGCCCTGGGGCAGGACCAGGCCTGGTGTGTGGGAGGAACAGCCAGGAGGCCCAGGTGGCTGGAACAGAGTGGGCACAGGGGAGAGAGGGAGGAGGGGAGGGCAGGGAGAGGACGGGGCAGGTTGTGCCGAGCCTTGGGGCCTCATTATATGCCAGACGGGGGCACGGTTCTCCGCTGCAGAAAGAACAGACCAGACAACTCTGTCCCCACAAGGACTCTGTATTTGGTGCTGAATCATACCACCCATTCCCTCCTTGGGGCAAAGCCAGAGGGGCCCCAAGTCCCCCTGAATCAGGCTGTTGAGGTCCTGTCCCTAGTTCCCAGGGCGAGGACAGTTACCCTTTGACCACAGGGAACAGCACAGGCTGGGGCAGGGACCTGGGAGGAAGCTCAGAGTCAGGGGCAAGTTTAAGGTAGGAAGTTGCCAGACATGGGAGATGGATAGCTGAGTGGGGGACCATCCGTTCCGGCTCTCTTGTCCTCTCCTGGGACCCAGCCTCCCCACGTGCTGGGCAACAACATGGGCAGAATGACCTAGAAAAACAGCCTCAGCAGGAAGTTTGCCTTAGGGAGAGACTGTGTTCCTGCAACTCCCGGTCAGAATTAAGGACAGCCGCGGTGGGAGGCCACGAGCCGAGACCCACCGATCCTTGGTTTCCTCGTGCCGTGAGCAGCTCAGTTCCCACCACTCCCGGGGCTGTTCCGTGGGGTATGTGAAATCCCAGGCATGGGGAGGGGGGAGCATCTAGAATTCAGTTTGGTGTTTCTTTTCATTTTATTTGTGCAATCTGTCGCTGACAACCCAGATTTTTTTAACCCCCGTCTAAGTGCCTCTCAGCTGTCTTCCCCGGCGGGTGTGTTCACATCTCCCAGGTTCCACGGTAGCCACAGACTGCCGCTTGTTTGATCCCCTGTTGATGAACACTGGTAAGTTCCATTTTTCCTCCGTTTAACTAGATCTCAGCTGTCTTCCTCTGCTGGTACACGGGAATCTCCTCGATGCCACAGCAGACACAGACCATAATTTAATCAATCCCCTAGTGATGGACGCAGAGGTTAGGTCCAGTTTCTTTTTCTCGCTATCTCCAATGACCTTGCAGCAAACTCAAGGGGTCTGTCCACAGTGCTGGGCTCCCTCGCAAGTCTCTAGGGGCGGCGGGGATCCTTCCGGGCATCTTCCAGCTCTCGGGGGTTCCTGGTGGTCCTCGGTGTCCCGTGGCTCCAAGCCACACCCTCCGACCCACTGTCTCGAAGCCTCTGCCCTGTGCATCTGTGTCCATGTCTCCCATTTGTATCAAAATACCAGTCATGGGGTGAGGGCCACCTGAGTCCAGGGTGACCTCGTCTTACCTGGATTGTGCCTGCAAAGTGCAGACCCTCCCCGCCCAACCCCAGTTACATGGGATTCCTGCTCGGCGTGAAGCAGGCGGGGACCAGGGGCTCTGGGCGTGTTCATTCCCCGAGGAGTCTGGGAAGGCGGGAGCCGGCCTCCCAGATGTCCAGCAGATGGAGGACCTGGAGCCTGAGTCCCTGCCCAGCCGGTCCTGTGGGAACAGTGTGGAAACAGGCAGCCTCTCATGGGGGATGCTTGGGGAGATGCAGCTGCTATGAGGCCAAAAATAGCTGACCAGCTAGTGGGCAGCCCCCATCCAGCTGCTATCTGGCTGGACCCTCGGCACCAAGCCCCACCCTGACCCCCAGGGTCTGGCTGCAGCTGAGAAGAGTGGAGGGAAGAGCACAGGGCGGTGGGGCGGGCAGGCTCCATGCCACACGCCAGCTGGCTCCCTCCCCCACTGCCGGCACCCACTCCTGCCCCAGGGCCTTTACACTGGCGGTTCCCCCAGCCTGGCACTCCCTTTCCCAGACACCATGGGCACTTTCGCAATCATTTACTGGGTCTCTCCTAGCTGCCTGTGGCCATCACAACAAAAATGCCACACACGGAGGGACTTAAAACAACAGAGACCTATCCTCTCCCAGTTCTGGAGGCCGGAAGTCTGACATCGGGGTGTTACAGGACCCAGTCCTCTCTGAAGGCCCCGGGGAGGATCCCCTCTTCCTCTTCCAGCTTTCTGTGGCTCTGCACAACGCTTGGCTTTCCTGGCCTACAGACACACCAGATCAGTCCCTGCCTCTGTCTTCATGTGGCCTTTGGCATTGATGTGCGTGTCCCTGTCCCTCTGGTTACAAGGACACCCATCCCTGGCTGTAGGGCTGCCCGACCCCAATAGAACCACATCATAACTGAACACATCTGCAGGACCCTGTTTCCAAACGAGGTCCCCTTCACAGGTACCAGGGGCTAAGACTCAAACATGGCTCTTTGAGGGACGCAAGCCAGCCCTCTGCCAGGTCTCAGCTCAGATGTCGCCTCTGCCAGTCTGCGGCAGCAGCCCCATTCACCCTCAGCGCCCACCCTTCCTTCCAGAGCGTCCGGGTATGTCCCCTGGACTTGCTGTTGGTGTGGATCGAGCACTGGTGTTCCCCCAGCAGGTGCCGGGTCTCACGCACACTCCTGGGCTCTCGGGAAGTCCAAGTAATGAAGACAAAGGCCTTGGAGAGTCCCCTGGGAGGTCGCAGACATGACTGGGGTTTTAAGCTACGTCCTAATTTCATGTGGTGGTTGGACCAGTGTAGACACAAATACAGGGAAGAGGGAGGACAGCACGGGCGGGGCCCCAGGAAGGCCTCTGGGGGTAGCCAGGGAGAATATTGAGACCACCTGCCACCCCGCTGGGAGGATGTCAACAAACCCCAGGAGGGCAGGACCTCCAGCTGCCTGACCCTTCAGCGGACTCCGAGCCTGTATACAGAAGGCACTCAATAAGTTGTTGGGGGTTACCCCAAAATTGTACACTATGTTGTGAAGTTCTTCTCCAGTTCAATAAGTGCTTTCTCTTGCAATGTTTTTATTGAGATAATATGGACATAACATAAAATTTGCCCTTTTAAAGGGTACATTTTGGTGACTTTCAGTGTATTCACAAAGTTGTGTAACCATCAGCACTAGCTAGTTCCAGAACATTCCAAGCAGCCCCATCCCCATCAGCCATCCCCTCCCCCAGCCCCGGGCCCCCAGGAGCCCCCTTCCCGCCAGGGGAGGAGCCTGGTCTGGGCGTGTCACACGGGTGGACTCACACATCCCGTGTGGCCTCCTGTGTCTGGTTCCCTCCCTGAGCACCGTGGGCTCGGGGTCCGTCCCCGGGGCCGCGCGTGGGGGCGCCTCGCTCCGGCTGGTGGCCGAGGGACGCTCCCGCACGTAGGGGACCCGCTCTGTGTCCGCACATCTGCGGATGCGCGTATGGGCAGTTTCCGTTTTCTGGCCATTAGGAGGGCGGCCGCCGCGATCGCGGGTGGACTGGCTTTCGCGTGGCCGCGCGTCCAGTTCTCCGCCGTGCGGGGCCCTCCGCGGAGGGACGCGTCTTGCGTGCAGCGGGGTCGGGGCGGTGGGCGCCGCGTGCTAATGCCTGCCCCGCCCTCAGGTGCCCACGAGGATGCTGGCGCGGCCCTAGGCCCACGCTCCGCACCATGACCTGCTGGCTGTGCGTCCTGGGCCTGCAGCTCCTGCTCCTGCCCGCGGCGCCCCCGCCGGCCGGCGGCTGCCCGGCCCGCTGCGAGTGCACGGCGCAGACGCGCGCGGTGGCCTGTCCCCGGCGCCGGCTCACCGCCGTGCCCGACGGCATCCCGGCCGAGACGCGCCTGCTGGAGCTCAGCCGCAACCGCATCCGCTGCCTGAACCCGGGCGACCTGGCCGCGCTGCCGCTGCTGGAGGAGCTGGACCTGAGCGAAAACGTGATCGCGCACGTGGAGCCGGGCGCCTTCGCCAACCTGCCGCGCCTGCGCGTCCTGCGCCTGCGCGGGAACCTGCTCAAGCTCATCCCGCCCGGGGTCTTCACGCGCCTGGACAACCTCACGCTGCTGGACCTGAGCGAGAACAAGCTGGTCATCCTCCTGGACTACACCTTCCAGGACCTGCGCAGCCTCCGCCGGCTGGAGGTGGGCGACAACCACCTGGTGTTCATCTCGCGCCGGGCCTTCGCGGGGCTGCTGGCGCTCGAGGAGCTAACCCTGGAGCGCTGCAACCTCACGGCGCTGTCGGGCGAGTCGCTGGGCCACCTGCGGGGGCTGGGCGCCCTGCGGCTGCGGCACCTGGCCATCGCCGCCCTGGAGGACCAGAACTTCCGGCGGCTCCCGGGCCTGCTGCACCTGGAGATCGACAACTGGCCGCTGCTGGAGGAGGTGGGCGCCGGCAGCCTGCAGGGGCTCAACCTGACCTCGCTGTCCGTCACGCACACCAACATCACCGCCGTGCCGGCCGCCGCGCTCCGCCACCAGGCCCACCTCACCTGCCTCAACCTGTCGCACAACCCCATCAGCACGGTGCCGCGCGGCTCCTTCCGCGACCTGGTCCGCCTGCGCGAGCTGCACCTGGCTGGCGCCCTGCTGGCCGTCGTGGAGCCGCAGGCCTTCCTGGGGCTGCGGCAGATCCGCCTGCTCAACCTCTCCAACAACCTGCTGTCCACGCTGGAGGAGAGCACCTTCCACTCGGTGAACACGCTGGAGACGCTGCGCGTGGACGGGAACCCGCTGGCCTGCGACTGCCGCCTGCTCTGGATCGTGCAGCGCCGGAAGACCCTCAACTTCGACGGGCGGCTGCCGGCCTGCGCCACCCCCGCCGAGGTCCGCGGCGACGCGCTGCGCAGCCTGCCCGACTCGGCGCTCTTCGAGTACTTCGTGTGCCGCAAGCCCAAGATCCGCGAGAGGCGGCTGCAGCGCGTCACAGCGGCGGCGGGCGACGACGTGCGCTTCCAGTGCCGCGCCGAGGGCGAGCCCGCGCCCACCGTGGCCTGGGTGACGCCGCGCCACCGCGCCGTGACGGCCGACAGCGCGGGCCGCGCGCGCCTGCTGCCGGGGGGCACGCTGGAGATCCGGGGCGCGCGCCCGCAGGACAGCGGCACCTACACGTGCGTGGCCAGCAACGCGGGCGGCAACGACACCTACTTCGCCACGCTGAGCGTGCAGCCCGAGCCGGCCGCCAACCGGACCCCGGGCGAGGGCCGCAACGAGACGCAGGCGGCCGCGCGCTTCCCGCTGGACCTCACCACCATCCTCGTGTCCACCGCCATGGGCTGCATCACCTTCCTGGGCGTCGTGCTCTTCTGCTTCCTGCTGCTCTTCGTGTGGAGCCGCGGCCGCGGGCAGCACAAGAACCACTTCTCGGTGGAGTACTCCTTCCGCAAGGTGGACGGGCCGGCGGCCGCGGCGGGCCAGGGCGGCGCCCGCAAGTTCACCATGAAGATGATCTGACGGCCCCGCGCGCGCCGGCCCGTCCCACGAGCACCTATGCATTTCCCGGAGGCCGCCCGCCGCCGGCGCCCCGCGCGACTTACCCCCTTTTTTGTAGGGACCCGAACACGGGACTGTTTTTTCATCAGGACTCATCTTTTGCATAGTTTCTCGAGCATTTTCTAAAGGTTTCACCCCGTCTTCCTGTCCCTCCTGAGCTGGGTGGGAGCTCGGAGACCCCCACAGCCCTCTCTGCAGATGGTTCACACTCCCCTACCCCTAGCTGGGGGCCCCTGACACCGCTCACACCCGGAGGGACGATGGCCTACATCCAGGACGTGGGGGGCCGCCCAGCCCCCAGGGGAGGCATGCCCGGGTGCCGCACTCCGCACACCGAGCACACAGGTGTTCACACCCAGGACACACTCTCGGACACACAGCTCCAAAACAGAACCCAGCCGACCCTAAACCGGCGCCCCAGGCTGCCGAGCTCACCTCGAGCACACAGGGCTCTTGTGAGAGCACAACTCACACCTGGGACATACCCTGCTCACACTCAGGACACACCCAGCTCACACTCGGGACACACGCATACCACCCCTGAGACACCCAGCTCACACTTGGGACAAACCCAGCTTACACTGGGAATGCACTCGGCTCACACCTGGGACACAGCTCCCAACCAGGCCACGCTCAGCTCACATGCGACATCCAGTTCACACTCAAGACACACCCAGCTTAGACCCAGCTGACACTGAACGCACACCCCAGGCTGCAGAGCTCGCCATGGGGACCCGGGGCTCTCCTGAGAGCACAACTCATGCCCGGGACAAGCCACTCACACCTGGGATGTGCACAGATCATAGCTGAGACACACTCAGCTCACACTCAGCTCCTGCTCGACTGGCTGTCTCTGGGGGAGTGTCAGAGCTGCACTGAGGTCTTGCAGAACAGGCAGTGCTCCCGCTGGGGGCCCAGCACGAAACAGGCTAGTCTGGGCCCCTGCCCCCAGACTCTCCCCCAGTCCGAGACCCACCAGCCCAGCAGGGTGGGCTGCCCACTAGCAGAAGCCATCTCCCCCGCTTCCTCTGCCACCCGCGACAGCGGCCACTTGCCTCCTCTGCCCGCGCCACACAGGAGGGGCAGCCGTCCTGACCCCTGGCTGGGGAGCATGGCTTCTGGGGTGTCCCCCTCCAGCAGGCCAGCTGGAGTGACCTTTAGTCCTGCGTCTACACGACCCCTCACCCAGCCTCAGAGGGGCCCCAGTGCAGCCCTACCAGGCCTGGCCCAGCGCTGTGACCCACTGCACCTGCGGGGAATGAGGCCAGAGAGTGTGTGAGGTTCTGAGGGTCCCTGTTAAGTGTAGTCTCTGCCACTTTGGAGCAGAGCTAGGGCTAAAGAGTAAGGGAGCCACAGGCAGACGGAAGCTCGGGTTAAGGAAGAACCCCCCTAAGCTTACTGCCCTGTTACTCTTCAGATAGTGAGTTCCCCATCAATGGGGGTAAGCAACAGGAGCTAATGTTTTACAAAAATCTTCAGGAACCACACGGGGTCCATCCATGACCCTGCCTCTGCCAGGTGGATTACTGCCCCCACCTCCACCTGGGCCAGGTGACAGGGCATCGTTTGAGGAAGGGGCACAGGAAGCACTGTGGACCCCTCGACTAGTAAGGAGCTTGGCCTCCCCCCAGGAGGATAGGACAGTATTCTTAAGGACCTCGTAGGAAGGCTCAAAACCAGGTCTGTTCCCTTCCAGGTGTGCAATTATAGCTGATGGCTGAGAACCCCTGGACCCTGGGTCCTTGTCTGTAACGTAGGTCTGAGGTCAAATCCACAGCTGCACATATCTGAGGCCACGTCCACGGACCGGCTTGATGGTTGTCCTGGATCCCGGATCCTTCAAGATCTTTCTGAGATGAGCCAGAGAGAAAGCTGGGCCAAGCCTGGGGATTTTGAGCACAGGATTCAGAAAGAACCTGGAGGGGACACTGGCCCTCCTCCTGGGCTGTGTGGCTGGACACGGTAGGCCTTGGTCCTGCTCCCACCTGCCTCAACCCCACTCGTGGCGGGATGTAGCGACGGCCGAAGGGGGTGTCCGGTGCCCCCGAACTCCACCTGAGTTGGGCAGAACCGACTGGTTTTCTCCCTTCACATCCTCCTGACCTTGGTTGCCATAACAACCCCAAGGGCCCCTCAAAATGACATCCAAGTGCCTTTAGCATCATCAGCGAAGGGAGGGGTGTGTTCTCAGCAGCGTCAGGACGCGCACACCGGCGGCGCCCTGGGATCCCCCACCTCCCACCCCAACATGAACCCGGAACCCCCCAGGCCCCCAGCCCCCTCCTGCTGTGTTTGGTTGGAACCCAATAAAAATGAAGCTGATTTAATAACAGACTTTGGGGCTTTGTTTTTTCTTTTTTTCTTTCAACGCTCACGGGAGGAGTGGGGGCAGGAAGGAGTGGCTGCTGGGGTCCCCAGGGGGAACCGTCTGGTTCCAGCTCCAAAGCCGGCCCTGCGTCGCGGGAGATGGAACGGCTCACAGTGATGGCTTCGGGTCCTGCTTCGGGAGCGCCCATGCTGTTCCGGGGGCCGCTCCCCAGAGCCCATGTTGACTCCTTCCAGCAGGTAAGAGCCCTGAGGGCTGCGTCCTCTTAGGATCCCACTTTCCAGTGGGCAAAGGCAGGGTCAGGGATGGAGAGCATTTGCCCAGAGTCCCCGACTAAGGGAAGGTGGGGTGCTCCCTGCTGCGCTTCTTCCCTCCAGGCTTGGGGGGTCCTAGCAGTCTCCCTGTTTCAGGGGGCTGGGAGAAAAAGTAGGCAGCTTAAAAAAAAAAAGATTTATTTGTTTATTTGTTTATTATTTAACTCAGCTCTCCCCCCAACGTGGGGCTTGAACTCACACCCAGAGATCAAGAGTCACGTGCTCTCTGACTGAGCCCGCTGCTTTTAGGGGTGCCTGGGCGGGTCAGGTGTCTGCTCTTGGTTTCGGCTCAGGTCGTGATCCCGGGGTCCTGGGATCACACCCCACGTCAGGCTCCCTGCTCGGCGCAGAGCCGGCCTGGGATGCTCTCTCTGTTGGAGCCTCCCTGCCCCCCTCACGCAGGGACAGGCACTCTCTCAAATAAAAATAGGGGTTTGTGTGTGTGTGTGTGTGTGTGTGTGTGTGTTTTATAGAGCAGGCTTTTTTTTTTTTTTAAGATTTTATTTATTTATTTGACAGAGATCACAAATAGGCAGAGAGGCAGGGAGAGAGAGGGAAGCAGGTTCCCCGCTGAGCAGAGAGCCCGATGCGGGGCCCGATCCCAGGACCCCGGGATCATGACCTGAGCCGAAGGCAGAGGCTCAACCCACGGAGCCCCCCAGGCGCCCCCAGAGCAGGCTTTAGAACCAAGCACTGTATCTGCCCTTTCTGGAAGGAGGTGGGCGGGGTCAGGCCAGTCAGCAGACTGACCTGGGGGACATGCCCGCGGGCGGCCTCTCACGAGCCACTCAGGGCCTCTCTCCAGGCCTCCGGGTTCCCATCTGACGCTGGGAAGAAGTGTCCTTTCTCGCGCTGCAGGAGGGGGACACATCAGGCTGTGGGCGACCCTCCACGCCTGACTTCCAGGAAGCTGCTAGGCGAGGACACGGGCCCTGGAGCTCCCGGAGCCTCCCTTCCGCACCCCTCCCACGGCAACAGCAGGACAAACCATCGCTCCGCAGCGACGCCCAGCTCCCTGGTTCAAACCAGGTCCAAGACTCAGGATGTCCTGAGTCCGTCTCGTTCTTGGGGGTGGGGCGGCGGGGTCCTCCTTCCAAGGCCCAGCGGAAAGGAACCCGAACAGAGGATGGGCCACTCACAGGGTCTCTGTGGGTCCCCCCAAAATACAGGACAGGGGTCCAGTCAGCATGCCTGGGCCCGGGAGGGGGGCGCTGAACATCTCTGCCTCAGTTTCCCCTCCCAGACAGAGCTGGAATGGCGAGCGAGTTTCTCCGGCCGCGTCCGCACACCGCACATCTCTAAGGCCCATCTTCCCAGTGCAGACCACTTTCCGTGTGGCTCCCCTCTCTTCCAGGCCCCTCTGGCCTTTGCCCTCCCCAGGGAGTCCCCGAGCCAAGCACAGGGACGCCCCATAACGGAACTGAGAGGCTTACAACAGCTGGGATCTCTTAGTTGACCGTCCGGAGCTCGGAAGTGTAGAATGGGTCAGCAGGGCTGGTCCCCCAGGCGGGGCAGCCCCAGGGCGTCTCCCTCAGTTGATGGTGCTGAGCCAAGGCCAGCAGTCCCCAGTCCCGAGCCTCAGGGGAGGCCCACCCAGCGGGGCTCGGCGGGGTGCTGGGCACTCTGCCCTCCCCGCCTGAGAAGGCCCCCCAGGAGCCCTTGGAGGAGAGGCCCGTCGGAGGCAGGCAGCCGATCCCCAGGCAAGCCCGCCACCCTGCCCCATCCTGGGAGCAAAAGTCCCCAGAGAGGTCACCCCAGTCCCAGCCCGCCGCCCGCTCACTGCCCCCACCCCAGCCCCAGCTTGGCCACGCCGCCACGCAGGGCGGGGACCAGGCTGGGGGGAGCAAGGTCCTGCCCTCGGGCACAAAATGGAAGGGCAAGCCTGGAATTCGGTCATCCAAATCAGCGTTCCGCCAAGAAAATGAACTCCCGTCCCCGCTCCACCACAAGCAAGAATCCGTCTCAAATAAAATAGCCCCCCTGCCCCGTGCAGGACCCCGCCAGGCCGGGTTCTAGGGACAGACAGGTCACTTACCCGCAGCGCTGGGAGGCCCCGGGCCGGACAGCCCACAGCGTCTCTTCCGTCTCACATGGGAATGCTCTGTATCTTGACGATGCAGTGCGGTTTTCTGGCCTCACCATACATGCTGTGCTCGGGTGGGTGCCTGGCACGTGCTCCCCTGGGGGCGGGTCACAGCCAGCCGCCGGCTGGGGGTCCCACGGGCGTCCTGTTGGGAAAGGACCTCAGAAGGGTGTGGGCTGAGCAGGCACCTCTGGTCCCACCCTGACCGCCCCAGAGTTGCGAAATCCGTCCCTCAGAGCCCACACCCTCCCCTCTCCTCCTGTTGCGAGGTTCCCAAGTGGCCCAGGGTCACCGGGCGCCCACCGGTGACAGATGGAGACCGTCAATCTGTCGGCTCAGGAAGCTGAGTGTGGGGAGAAGGGAGAACACAGGATCAACACAGAATCTCACGCTGGAAAGGCCTTGAGCTCAGTCTGTCGCTGTTGCCCAGAATGGGGCCAGGGACCTGTGTGGAACCTGGTCACACGTGGCTGCACCTGCTTCCCCCGCAGACAGGGCCCTGGGCACTCAGCACTGCCCCGAGGACCCATCACTGTGCCTGGCCCAGCCGTGGAGACGCACGAGAATTCCCTACCCTCTCTGCGCTCACAGCCCCTGAGCGAAACCACAGGGGCGGGGACAGAAGCCCAGCACGGACTGTGCCATCGCAACTCTGCCCTCAGGGGACGGCTCTGCTTTCCCTTCACGGAGGGGGAGGGGAGGCCGCGGGGGAGCTGGGCGCCCTTCACACGGCGGCCCAGCGGCAAACCTCCAGCCCAAACACGGCTGAGTTCCAGCATCTGGACCCCCGGGTTTCCACCAATCTTGCTTTTCCCCGTGTGGCCATCGTAGACCAACCGTCCAGAGCTCAGAGGGGCGCTTGCTCCTGCCGGCCCTGCCCCGGTCCCGGGCTGGGCGGGCAGAGGGCGGGCGGGGGCGGGGGAGGCTCCAATGACGACAACACCGCAGAAGGGGAAGCGAAAACCAGGGAGGAAAGAGCCGGCCTGGGGGCGTTTCTTGCTGCCCCAGCGTTGCCCGGGTTCCCCAGCGTGTCTGGCTCCCCACTGCCGTCCTCTGTTCGTCATCTGAGCCTCAGCGCAGGGACCGTCCCCGTGTTGCCCCCTCCCCGGCCCCCCACACTTGGCCCAGGCCATGTCCTCTGCCTGGAGTGTCCGTCCCACCTTGGAGGGACGCGTCCCCTGCGGGCAGGCGGGGAGCACGGCCTGGGGAAGTGATGCAGAGGGCGCCCCTCCCTGTGGTCTGACAGTTGCATGGGGCTTCCGGGCGGCTGCGAGCCACGGTCAGCCTGGACAGGGCCGCAGCGCCCAGCCCGGAGTTTGACCCCAAGGCTGCCCCCGCCCCCCATCACTCGGGTCCTGCAGGTAGGGGCTCCCTGAGGGGTGCTGGGGTGGGGGGTGGGCAGAAGCAGCACCTCGTGGAGGTCGGGGTGACAGGGGTCTGGGTGGGGCGCGGCCGGGCTGCCGAGCTCTGGGAAGGAGACCTGGTGCTGTTGTAGGCCCCCAGCTGACCCCCCATCCCTGGCCCGGCCCTCACAGCTGGACCTTCTATTCAGTCCATGTCGCAAAAGCACAGGGTCCTTCCCACTGCCCTGGACGGTTGAGAGGTGATGTTGCTGCCCCACCCATGAGGAAAGGAGCCCAGGGAGGGCGACACACCACCCCAGGGCCACCAGCAGGCCAGTCCGGACAAGACGACCGAGGCCACCCCCCTCGCGCCTAGCTCCCTGCTCCCCCACGCACACCATCAGCACCCCGCACCTGCCCACCCCCACGGGCCCCCAACTTTGACCCTCCCCCACTGCAGCATGAGCGGCCCTGAGCCATCCACTGAGACCCCTGGGCCTGACGCCCCAACCTGGCCGACTCTGCCCACCTACAGCAACCTTGGTGAGCCCCCGGGGGGACTGGCGGAAGGACTGATGTGGCAGGGGGGATGCTGAGCCCGAGGGCTTAGAGAGCCCCTGCCTGAGGGCGGCTTAGCTCACTCGCACTGTCATGGTCCCCATAAAACTCTGCTGAGGGAGGGAGCAGCTGGGAGCACCAGCTCATCCACACGAGGAAGCTGGGGCTCCCAGAGGTGGGGTCACCTGGCCGGAGCCACACAGGGACACAGGGTCACCTGGTGTGGGCTGGACGCCTCTTGGTCACTGACGCGTCACTCCTCTATGAACTGCGGGGGCACCTGTACCCCACGGGGCCACTCTTCCCATCCTGCAGATGGGGCAGTGGGGCCGAGGGGCCCGAGCCCCATGTGTCCTCACCCCTTCCCTGCTCCCCCCCATCAGGCGAGGTCCGCGCCCAGATGCTGCCCTCCAAGGCCTGCCACCCTCGGACATCCAGGCCCCCCTTGACTGACCCGCAGCCCCTGCCCCCACCTCTGCCCAAGAAGACCCTGGCCAGGACCCGGTCCCTGCCCACCCACAGGGCCCCCAGCTCCAGCCCCACTCCTGCAGGGCAGCCTCGGAGGCCCTTTCTGGGGTCCCACAGTGTGGACGAGAGCCAGGCCGGCAACGACCAAGCGTGGGCCTCTGGTCCCCCTGTGGAGCCACATAATCGCTCGCTCAACAGCCCGCTGGGCCTCGGCTGGCCCAACCTGCATCGCCCCGAGGCTGTGCGCGCCTTCCTGGAGGCCCGGCAGCTGGAAGGCGTCCGTACCGTGCACGCCCAGCTCCGGGCCCGGCTGCTGGGGGGCCGCCCGGGCCCCTGTCACCCCGGCCACGGCTTCCGCCTCCTGGACAGCTCGCCATGTGTGGACAGCGGGGATGCCCTCTACTACCGCCTGGTGCGGGTGGGCGACGAGGCGTGGCACATGCTGGCTGCCAAGGTGAGCCCCGCCCGTGCCCCTGCTCCTCGGAACCGTCCCCGGTGTCCCACGTTGGGTGTCATCTGGGACGCACGCCGCTTGGGCTTCCCGTCTTAATCTGCGACAGACATGCGCTAACACAGCCCAGGAACAGCGTGTCCGAGGTGTGCGGCGGTGGCCACGTGGGTCGCCAGGGAGTCCTAACCCCCACGCCTCCCAGGGGCCCTGCAATCTGCATTCGCACCCAGTCTCTAGGGAACTCAGGCGCTAGAAGGCCACCGTGCTCCGTGGCCCCCGCGTTAATAACACGTATAATTAGTAGCTTCTGCCACCACCAGCATGTCGAGCCCCTCTGCGCGCCCTGAGCCGTCCTACGGAGCCCAAGGTGCCCTTACGCACCGAGTCACCGCACTCGCTTTGCAACGCCACTGTCACTGCCCTCGTCATAAGATCCTTCCGTTTTTAGGCGCCACTCAGGGAGAAAACAAAATAGGTCCCCGTGAAGCCACTCGTGTCAGAGGCAGACTTTTCAGACGACGCTCAGCAGTTAGGCTGTGCTGGGGGGCCCGTCCCCCTCACACCCCAAGCGTGAGGGAGGGCAGTGTGGCTGGCCGCGCGGGTCGGGGACGGCTGCTGGACCCTGACTCCCGCATGGGAGCCCCCACCCCGCCCGGCGATTCTAATGTAATTCCCAGAGCTGGTGCTCCCCTGACCTTCTAGAAAGAGCTTTGCTGACCTGCACTGTGGTTTCTGGCCACTGGGGCTTCTGAGGCCTTGAGCCAGCGCTGCCCCCTCCCCCTGAGATGGATCTCAGGATGGGACAGAGCCGGGGAGCGAGACACCTGCTCTGTTGTAGCCTGGACGCTCATGGCGGTTGCTCGCTAACGTTCTGGACATCTTGGCTCCGACTAAACAGAGTATGGGGGTTGTCGTGTCCACAGTTCTTAGCAGGTGGAGAATGTGGCTCGCGGCCTGGGTCGTGTTTCTCTGGGACGGCCTGCCCTAGGGCCCCGCACTGCCCGCCTCCTCACGCCTCTGAGGGGCTGCAGTCCGACCCCTAAACCCCATCGTCCTTAGCGGCGCTTTCCCTGAAGCCATGTTGGCAACAGACAGCGAACTGACACGTTCCAACTCCTGCTTCTGGAGGCCGAGCACACGCAGCAGGGGCGACGGGAAGGCTGCGGGCAGAGCGCCGGCGGGGGTCTCCGCACTCAGGCCCCTGACGGCCCCCTCTTTGCCCCTCAGGTGCCCAAGCCGGGAGCCGAGGAGCCCCACCCGTGGGGCCTGGAGCTGCAGGCCTCGCTGGGCCCACACTTCAACCTGCAGGGGCTGTGCGGCCTGGTGCCCGAGGGCGCACTGCCTGGAGCGCCCTGGAGCGGCCCCGTGGCGCTGGCGGCCGAGGTGCCGGAGCGCACGCTGACCCAATGGCTGTCTGAGGTGGGCAGGGGGCTGCAGCCGGCGGAGTTCCCCTGGGTCGCGGCCCTGCTGCTGCTGCAGCTCACGTCCGCACTGGAGCACCTGGAGGCTCGGGGCGCGGCCTTGGCAGAGCTGCGGCCCGAGAACCTGCTGCTGGTGGCGCCCCGGGGCTGTGCCACGGCCGGGCCCCCTCGCCTGCTGCTGGCCGACTTTGGCCGCGTCCGCCCCCAGCCCCCGGGACACCGGGGCGCCCACGCGCAGCAGCTAAGCCACCTGCTCAGTGCCCTCCTGGGCCCCGTGGCGCCCTCAGCCACGCCCTTGGCATCCGGCCTGGAGACTCTGGCGGCCCGGCTGGCCCACTTGCAGCCCTCAGCGGCCCAGGCGCGGGCTGCGCTGCAGGTGCTGCTCTGGGGCCCCGGGCCTGAGCTGCGCGGCCGAGGAGCCCCGCTCGTGCCCTGGCTGCGGGTGCGCCGTGCACTGCTGGTCCTGCACCTGGCCGAGCGGGCGGCGGCGGGGGAGGCGCCCGGCCTGGAGGACTGGCTGTGCTGCACATACCTGGCGGAGGCCACGGAGGCCTCCCTGGGCCACGCCCTGGCGCTGCTGTGGGACTGACGCCTCCCAAGGGCCTCCCCGAGAGGTAGGCACCCTTCCCAGGCCTGGCGCCAGAAGGCCAGTGGGGACTGCCTCCATGATAGAAGGGACGCCCTCTTCCAGAAACAGCCAGAAGGGTGCAGGACCGTGGACACACAGCCCCCTTTCTATGCTGGGGACTTGGGCCCAAGTCCTCCCCTGGAAGCCTGGGGGCTGGGGCTAATGACCAGTGCCTCCAAAGGCTTTCTGACGCCAGGACGACCCCCACCTCTACCAGGTGTGGCCACTCCCTGTCCACCAAGGTCTGTGTGAGTATGGGACCCCTCTCCCCAGCTTCCAGCAGAGGCGAGGCTGTCCCTCTAGTGGAGTCTGAGGGTCACCGTCTCGGTTGAGGAGGTGGACGCTGTCCTCCATCTCCCGTCCCGGAGCACCCCTTGTGCCGAGGACGGCCAGTGACTGTGAGTCTAGACCTGGTTGGCGTCTCCAGGGGGAGGGGAAGCTCCTAGAACCTGAGACGCCCAGTCCCCCAGCACAGCCCGCCTCAGAGGAGTCTGAACTCACCTGCCCAAGCGTCCCCACAGGGTCCCATGCCTTCTGCCTCCCCTACTCTCTCCACCCACTGTGGCCTCCGCGCTCTTCCTCCGTGAAATTAAATTCTGTCCAGCCGCCAAGCTTCTGCATGGGCTGTTCCCTCCGCCGGACTCCGAATCTCACCTCCTCTAATCAAATAAAGTCGCTCCTCCCCGTGCCTGCCCCCAGAGCACCGACCACCACCTGGAAGTATTTATCTCACGGCCCGCCACCTGACCGGGTCACCCCCCAGGCTCTGAGCTCCCCCAGGGCAGAAGCCAGGCTTAACCCGCAGTAGCTGTTTAATCGCACAGGACAATGGAACACCGGCAAGGAAGTCTCGTCTGGGAACCTAAGGGAGAGAACAGGGTCTCAGTTTACGCCTCTGAAAAAGGCCCCTGAAGGGTCCCACTGCTCTTGCTTCTGGGGCCTCCAGTCATGCCCCCTCACTTCCCCAAGCCCCTCATGGCTAACTCCCAGGTACAACCAGGGCTCCTCTCCCGCTCAAACATCTCCCGTGGCTCCTTAGTACCCTCAGAATACAGTGGGGCTCCTTCAAAGGTTCCCCATGTTCCCTCTGGCCAACCCCTCCTGCCACACTGCCTGTCCGCCTGACCTCCAGGACTTGCCCAAGTTGTTTCTTCCCCTGGTCACTCTGCCCGTCTCTACTCATCTGCTTCAGACTCCTCTGTACCCTTCAACACCCCAACCCCAAAGCCCTTTGTGCTGCCCCGACTGGTGTGCTGCCCGGCTCTGTCCCTTCAGACCTTTGAAGGCCCATCTGCAGTACATCGCCCCCAACCCCAGACACATTCCCATCCCTGCAGGTACCTCCCCTGCTCCAGACGCCCCCTCTTCCCGCCTCAGCCCAGGCTGGGCCTCAGCCCCTGGGCCACGCTCAGATGCGGCCAGCAGGTGGCGCAGCAGTCCAGCCCGTCCTAGGCCTTCAGGAACCCCCTCAGCCCTGCTGACCCTCCGCAGGCGCCAGACCCCACATTCCCGCTCTGACCCCCATCACCGTAACAGCCCTGCAAGGCCCTCCCCAGGGGCTGCTGGCGTCCACGGAGCCCACACGGGCGATGACGTGGGGGCCCAAGTCCAGAACCACGCCGGCACCTCAGCCACACCCCACACAGACCAACAGAACCAGCGGTGAGGCTGTTCGGGGCCAGCAGGAACTCTGCCCGTGGGGAGCAGTGGCCGTCCCAGATAAGGGCCGAGCAGCAGCAGACCCAGCGTTGGGGTGGGGCGGTCGGCCACCTAGGGCCTCCCGGGGCTGCCAGAAGGACTGAACGTGAGGGGAGGCAGCAGCCATCCCGGGCCGCCACGCATCGGACCCCACAGGAACCGGGCTGCGCCCAGAGCGGGCGGTGGTGCCCGCCCACGCGAGGGGGTCACGCGGTTCGGAACCGGCACACCCGCCCCCCCCACCCCGTCCCAGGCCCTCGGTCCCGGGGCGTGGTCAGTGCCGGGGGAACACCACGGAGCCAACACAGGTGCGGGAGGCGTCATCACGTTTATTCAGGTTTTCAGCGCTGCTGCGGGCCGAGACCTGGACTTCCAGAGCCTTCCGGTGAGAGACTCCTACACGGACAATCGGAATCATCTCCAACCAGCAATAAAAAAGTAAAATATAAACTTTTATTTAGAATTAAAGCAAATACTCCAGTATCACAAACACAATATTAAACCTCGAGAAATACACCGCTAATTTGGAGTGAGCGTTTATTTGCACAATCACAACATGCGGACAAACCCGGCGCGCAGGCCTGACTCGCGGCGCCGCGGCCGGTCCCGCCCCACAGTAAGCGCCACACGCAAAGGGACCGCGATGCAGGGGCGACGCGCGAGGGACGCGGGCGGTGCCACTACTCGTCCTCGCCCGAAGACTCCCTCTCGAACGTGTAGGCCATGAAGCAAGCGTCGGGTCTCTTGGGGACAAGGGGATGCCCCGGTCTCACAATCTCAAAGCCCAAAAAGCCGAAGGTCCGGAGCAAGGCGGCTGCGGGGGAAACCGAGTCAGAGCCGCAGGCGGGGCCGCCCGCGCCCCGAGCGCCCGGCCCCCGCCCCGGCCCCCCAGCGCACACCTCTGTCGTCGCGGTTCTTGTGGAAGCAGACGAAGACGTGGGCGGCGCGCAGCTGCTCCTCCGAGAACTCCAGGAGAACTGTGAGGCTGAAGGGCCGGCGTCAGCGGGGCCGCCCCACGCCCGGGAGCACCCCCACCCCGGACCCGCACCGCGGCCCACCTGTCCTTGCTGCCCTCGGGCAGGGCGCCGCCCGGGATCTCCACGTAGAGGCAGCCGCCGCGCAACACCGCCCTCCAGTCCACGCGCCGGGAGCCCGAGAGCCTGGTCTGCACGTTCAGAATCCTCGTCTTGCCGTGGGACGCGAGCTCCTCGGTCACGCGCAGCCGCTCGTCCTGCGGGAGGGAGCGCCGGTCCGCACCGCAGACGCGCGCACTGCTCGGGCCGGCCCCGGCCCCGACCCCGGCCCCGCCCCCCCCCCCGCGGTACTCACGGAGTAGAAGACGGCGGCGGCCGGAAGACTGTGATCCCTCTGACTATTCCCTCGCCCACCTGGGATCTTCAGGGGTGGGTGAGGGACATCAGGAGCACCACCGAGGCCCCGGACCCAGGTGACTACAGCAGTCGGGGGAGGACCTGCCACGGCAGGACGCGGCGCTCAGCCTCGCGCAGGGGCCCCGCAGCCGCGCCCGTCTCCACCCGCGGGCCCCCCCCCCCCCCCGCCCGCCGCGAGCGCGCGCTCCCCCCGCCGCCGGCGCCCCTCCCGCACGCTCCCGCGGGCCCGGCTTGCGTCATGGCGGCGGACGCGGCCCGCGGCCCCGAGGGAGGTTTTCACAATCGCGCGCCCAGCGGCGCCAGCAGCCATTTGCCGCGCGGGGCCAACAGGCCGCAACGCCGCCTCCATTTTGCACGGCTCGGAGCTCGGCCCCGTCCGCGGCCCGGCGGCCTCGGCACTCCGCGCGGCGCCCCTCAATCCGCGGCCCGCCGGGGGGACCCGCACCTGCCGCGGGCGCGCCGCCGAGAGGAGGGGGCGGCCGGTCGGACCCCGGCGGAGGCGCGGCTACGGGGCGCCCCGCGCGTCCCCCCACCCCCCCGCGGGCCACGACGGCAGGCCGCGCCCGCCCACCCCCCGCCCCGCCGGGCCACGGGCCCCCGGAGCGCCCGTCCCCCCTGCGATGTGGCCTCGACACAGGGGCGGACCCCGCGCTCCCGGGCCCTCCGCGGCCGGCTCCCCGCGGGCCTGCGCGGCGGCGCTTCTGGAAGCTTCGGGCGGGGGCGGGGCGCTCACCTCTCGCTGCTGCGGCCTCCGCGGCTGTGCAGGCTGAGGAGCGGCATGGCGCGGGCGGCGTGGACGGCGGTGCTGGCTTTGTCCCCCTCCTTCTCTCTGGCGAAGCAGTGGCTGTTGAGGATCCGCTGCAGGGAGGATTTCACCATCCGGCCGCTGGGGTCCGAAACCAGAAACCTCCGCTGCGCGTCTCTGCGCCGCCGCCGCTGCTCGCCGTTCGCAAAATGGCGCCGCCGCCGCCTCCCGCCTTTATAGGCGCCGCTCCCGGGCCACGCCCCCACACCGCCTGGAACGCAGACGCGCGAGGGGGCGGGGCCGCGGAGCCCCCGACAGCTCCGGACGTGTTCGACCCCTCGGCGTCTGACTGGCGGACGGCCGGGGTGGGGGCGGGACCGCCGCGGGGACCGCCCCCTCCACCAATGGCGACTCTCTGCGGGCGCGGGAGGCGGGGCGCCGTGGCGTCCATAGCGCAGCGTACGCGCCCCGCCCCCATCAGCCGGACCTGGGGTGGGAGGGCTCCGCGCTCTACGGGTCTTCGGGTGCTGGCAGTGGCGGCGTCTCCGCCGTGGCCCTTGTCGTCCTGCCCCAAGCGAGGGCCTCCTCTCCCGGGAGGCTCGGGGTGACAGAGGCCCCGGTATTCGCGGGCGGGGGTCCCAGAGCCCCCACCCCACGGGGCGGAATTCCTTTCAGTGATAACCTCGGAAGGGTCGGTCCCGCGGTGGGTTTCTGGGTTCGGTCTTGCTCGGTTCCGGACCGCCGCGGCTGAAGAGAACCTTCCATGCTCAAGACACTCGCGTTTAATGAAATGGAGCGTATCGCTTCCAGGCTCAGCCAACAGCTCTTCTGCTCCCAGAGAAAAGCAGACCCCTCCCCGGTCAACGCGGACCCCTCCCCGGTCAACACAGATCTCTCCCGGGTCAGCGCAGACCCCTCCCCGGTCAGCGCGGACCCCTCCCCGGTCAACGCGGACCCCTCCCGGGTCAGTGCGGACCCCTCCCCGGTCAACGCGGACCCCTCCCCGGTCAACGCGGACCCCTCCCCGGTCAGCGCGGACCCCTCCCGGTGAACGCAGACCCCTTCCCGGTGGACGCAGACCTCTCCCCGGTGAACGCGGACCCCTCCCCGGTCAATGCGGACCCCTCCCCAGTCAACGCAGTCCTCTCCCAGGTCAACGCAGTCCTCTCCCGGGTCCACAGAGACCCCCTCCTGGGTGAGCACCACCAGCCCAGGCAGGAGTCCAGAACCGGAGGTGGGAGCGGTTCCCGGTGGTCCCAGTGGAGCACAGAGCTTGCAGGTCCTGCTTCCTTTCCTGGTTTTGCTTTTCAGGCACAAAGGGAGGGTCTGGAGAGTTAGGCGGGACTGAAGCAACTCCTGTATGTTTGTCTTCACAATTCATGCCTCTCGTTTTTATCTCGTTTTTATTTCAGTCTGCTGTGTCTATGTGAGTTAGAGACACAAGCTTTCCCCAGAGACCTTGAATGACTGCAAAACCCACAGGAGCTTAGTCTGCAAAGCAGGTCTGCTGAATACGTGTGTCTTATTAATTCCTTGCCAGGGGGAAATGCAGTATTTATATTCATACAGTAATTCCACGTAAAAATGTCTTATTTGCAGCTTCCGAACACACATTACGAGAACACCACCAAAACTCTAAGAATTGCGTGTGTTGGGCCAGCGCCAGGGAATTGTCCTGGGAAAGAATATTTAATTCGTGACTTTGTGTAGCATTGCAGCTTGTGGTGAAACTTAAA